CACCACTGTGGTCCAGGTTCGGTTCCCGGGTACGGACCATATGTGAGTTTGAGTTTGTTTGATGTGTTGTTCTCTCCCTTGCCACAAGGGTTTTTCTCCGGGTCCTCCGGTTTTCCTCCCTCAGTAAAAATCAACATGTGAGGAGTGTTGTGTGCTAGAATATTTAATGTAGAGGTAGTGAGTGTGAGAGTACACAGTCCAGAACTGGACCCTCTTTTCTCAATTACTATAGATAATATTCTATGTAAAAGTTAGAAATCCAAAGCGCGCGATACAGAAAATTGAGAAAAGAGGGTCTCAATTTTCTGTAGCGCGCGCTTTGGATTTTTAACTTTTACATAGAATATTATCTATAGTAATTGAGAAAAGAGGGTCTTTTATCGTGGCCGTTGAGAACGCTGATTCAAAATAATTCCGCGCGCACAAGGATAAAAGAGGGTCCAGTTCTGGACTAGAGAGTTGCGGTGTCCCTGGCCATACTAGGGGCAAAGCTAAGTAAATTTATCGCTACAGAAGCTGTCAATAAAGAAGCGGTCTTCATATGCAATAGGCCATTTCCTAAATAAATGATGGGAGTTTTAATCCTCGTACTTTTCATTGGCCTCTAATTAAAAGTCTCCCCAAAAGCTGTTCATATATTTTCTTTGTAGAAAATGCACAACTACTTCTATAGAAAAAACAAAAACGTCTAAAGAGGACTGTTAAAACGGACATGAAAAAGTCTATAAATCCCATCATGCTTTGCTGCACAAAATGGCATCGTTGCACCTCAAAATACATACAAAAGATGTACAAAAGAACTACAACGAAAGGTTTCCAAACCATTAATTATTGTTGCAACAATCAACATCGAAAGCCTTTGAGCTTCGAAAAATAAAAATTCATCGAAGGGGGAAATTTTTCATCTACCTAAAATCATCCCTATTGCATACGAGCATACACGAATGGTGAGATTCCCTCGTGTAGATGAACACAAATGAAAATTGGACAAGGCAGCTTTTTCTCATGTAACTAGAAAGTGTCGGTTATACAAAGTGATCTTTTTTAATATAATAATATTGACGGGCAGACAGTATCAGTTTTAAGGATAATACTCAATTTGGAGTTATCGATACTTTTTACATTTCATATAAAAAATCTCCAGTCATGTAGAACTAAAATCTCTGGACGAAGGATGATGCATTATCAGGGCAAGTGAAAACGTAATTGTAGTTTTTTTGTTTTTGTTTTTTGCATAATTCAAAATATGACTGGCACACACTTGAGTGAGTTACGCACAGATTATGTGAATATTTGAAGAGTCGGAATATTAAATCGAGTCGTATTGAAAAACGTTAAATGGTATATGTTAATGACAAAAATATTATCTATTTACCTACAAATTCAATTTCGTCGCACAAAATGGCGTCGCTGTACATTTGCATATTGAAAGTCGCTGCAAAATTCGTATAAAACTTTCTGGTTGAAACTAAAGGTCTATAACTCATAAGCTTTTTTAAACGACGAAATTTGAGTTTTGAAACCAAAATATGTCGACAATATATAAACTCCGACATATAAGAACAACGGGTTCCCTTTGAGCAACCAAATGCATAAATAAGATGCATAAGTAAATGCATAAAGACGAAAACAAAAGAGATGCCAAAATAAATCCAAGATGGCGGCTGCATCATCATTGCAGTGCTCGTATTATCGTTCAATAGACTACCTTTGTGATACGTGCGTGCTTTCAACAACGTCGTAGATATGCAAGTATTTTCTGATAGTTTTTCAAATCTTGCATACATAGTTATTTCAGAAAGCGTGGAATACTGAATATTGCATTCCAAGACCGCAGTGCATTGTTGCAATTAAATTCCACTTTAGATGCGTTACAAAATGACAATTTTTGCAACGTAATTGCTTTCCATTGAAGCTAATTTTTCACTATAACTGCTACAAGGAGCTGGTATCGTCTCTCTGAAACCAGGAAAACTACTTTTGAACGATGCATTTCGGTCTTTGAATACACTACCTTCAGTATTTGTCAAGGTTAATATCTCTTTTTCTTACCAGCACTGTGTTATTTTTTTAAGCCCGTTGGGAACCGTGGCTAAACTTGAGGAATGGAAAGTCTTCATTCCTTCATCACAGCCGTCTCCGCTCACTAATTTGCATTCTTGCCGGAGCGTAAGCGCCTCCATTAATTTCACTGTTCAGGAATTTCAAGGGAACTCAGCAAAACCTCTGAAGGCAGGGGATTAATAATTATATTTCGTACTTTGATTGGATGGCTCGTTTGCAATTGCTAAAATATAATTCGATCTACAGCCGATCTTGAAAAGTCTATCCACGTGTAGATACTGAAATGTACAAATTGTCACGTGTCTTGTTGGCGCGTGGAACATTCTCTAATGTCCATTTTAAAAATGCGCCCTCATTTCTCCGCTAAAACACACCTGACATTCTAGACCACTTAAATGATTTTACTCTGGAACAGGGTATAGTTTTCAGCGATTTCACTCTGCTGGAACGGCACACCCCCACCCAAGTTGGGGAGGGAGTACCCCCGGGTTTAAACGAACGGAAAGTGATAATTTTCCAACCTCGTTCCCAGGCCTTATCCCTTCGCTGGGGGTCAGGCGGGAAAAGTCCCTGGCATCGTCTAGCGACATCTCTAATTTGATTGGCTGAGAGAAAGTTTTGCTTTTATAATTTATCCAAACGACTTTTTGTCACATTACGAAAGATTTCCGATGAAAACACGCTCTTGAGACAGATTTTAAGACAAGCAGGACTCCATAGCTGATCAGGGTCTTTTTGTTGCTTAATCGAATAAAGTTTTGATTGCATTTTCTGTGAAAACCTTTCTTCATGAGAATCAGTGTTGTGAAGCAACCTGACCCCAAGCGAAGGGATAAGGCCCTGGGAACGAGGTTGATAAGACCTGATAATTTCCATAACGTCAAAACGGTAGCATAGTGGATTTAGCCTCTTACTAGACATTAGCCACAAAAATACTTCAGCCATAGTTGCAGAGCTGCGCATGTGCAGACGTTCGACGATGAGTCTAGTCTGGTGAATGTTACCGAGTTATCACAGGTAGGGTATTGTTCACATCCCCGACCCACGACTTATGACACTTACACCGAATTGTAAAACCATTGCCAATAAAGAACATCGTGATTTTTTTTTTTCAGTTTCTTCTTTAGTGTATGCCAACTCGCAATTAAGTTTATCTACCAGAGTGTCGAATGTCGATTCTTAATAAATAGTTCAACATCTGGAAAAAACTTTTAAAAATATACAAAAGCTGCTTTTAACCTTTTATATGTTATTCTTACGGTTTAGCTTTTATTTTATTTATTTTTCTACTTTTATACCGTCTTTTAATTAAGTTTATCGTCTATAGTCGAATAGACGACATCGGGAATACATATTAAAAACGACCATTCGATGCCCTTTACTCACGTTAGTGAATTTTTTCGTACACAAAAAATACCGCAGTTCCTTAAAAACCGTCAGATCATCAATTTTTTCTAAATTGTTTTCGAATTTATAGTATTACATAACAGCAACATTATTTAACAGGTCTCGTTTAGGAGAAGTGAGGTCAAACTTTTAAGTAATCGCCAAGGATATGTACCAAAACTAGACGGCGTCAGCTTATCTTTGAAAAGCTAAATCCGATTTGAACCAAAATATGCTTTTTAAACTTTTATTCTGTCCCCAAGAGTATCAAAAATAACAATACGTTAAGTGACTTAGCGTTAGAGCACAGCTGCTTGTCGCCAGAAATTATAATAAGCTCCAGGTCAGCCATCTTCACATGCTGTCAGATTGAAGTGGGCAAATATTATAGGGATTTGAGCGGGAAAATGGCCTTGTGATGAAACTCCTTGCAAACGTTTCTTATTGTATATCTTGTTATGGAATCTAGCCTCAAGATGATGTCCCTGTGTTCACTTTGCTTTATCTGTTCAAAGATACTGAATTATCTCACGATTAACCACGCTACTCTAATAAACCAGCGATGGTGATAAAAGTAAGACTGACTACATTGTAAACACGCAAATATTGAAGACCTTTGCCATGACTGATCGAACGTGCCGATCTCTGATGACCAGKCAGTCTTCAAACATGTAAATAGAAAAAAAAAGTCATGTTCATCTTTTGTTTATCTAAGAAAGACGACACGTGGGTGGCGCGAAAAAAGGTCTTGTCGCGACAGCTTATGCTGTCAGATTGCCATGGCCAAACAACGTTCAGAGGGAAAAGATACAAATGTCAATGAAATGTAAAGACATATGGACTAGTGATGGAATACAATCCATAGAGTAATTCCTAGTTTCATTGTGAGACGTTTCTGAATCTAGCCAGAAGATCAATGTTTCTGTGTTTAATTTGTTTTATCTATTCAAAGATACTGAATTTTATTATTTAGATATCTATGAAGTATCAGGTTATCTCCGCGCGCCCATGTAATATCCTCTATATCTACAGATTACATGCAACACTAATAAACCAGCGAACCCAGTGAATAGCAGACCAACTAATTGTTAAAAGATCTACTAAAATGTTTATAACGACCGTATAAACGCACAGGTACCACTATTGAAGACCTTAACCATGATCGACATGAATTTAACGATCTTTTTTGACCTCCGAATGACGAACAAACAGGTAAACGCTGTCGTGTTCACGTTTCGTTTATCTGACAGAGACGACACCCAAGGCACCGCACGGTCTAAAACATGCTCAGCAGACTGGCAAACCTCCAAAGGCTTATCTCACTAGTTTACGACAACCTCAATTATAATAGGCGCTCGATCTATTTACTCAAACACACAATGGTAAACGAGGATTTCAACATTGGAATTACAAATTAAGTGTGAACAACATCAGTMGAGTTAAACGCTTTGATGTGCGCACAATGTTATCGTCAATTCAAGATGGCAATCAAAAGTAGCGTGTAAAGAGCGCAATTTAGTGGTTTAAGTTTGATATTTCAGGACATTCCATGAAAGCTTGGAATTACCCATTGACATCTTATCGTATGGCTCCTTTAATTGATCAAGAATCAAATCTTTGAAATAACTTAAAAAGACATTATTTTACAATAGRGCAGTTTTTAGATGTTACAGTTGAATCTTCGATGTTCATTTCCATAGCAGAAGCTATCATTATTTCTAGTTGACCGGGRAGTACTGATCATGAAAACCACAACAGTATTCGAGGTTATCATCGTTTAGAAGCGTTAATCTTTGGTTTCAGAGTTCAGATTGCTTACAAAGCTTCTCTCCTCGTTGTTATCGTCTTCGGAATGCACGTGATATTCGCCAGGCATTTGGTTCTTCATACCTGTAAACATTAAAGGACACGTGTTGAGAAAACGTAAAATCACCACCACTGAATTGGCTCAGCATGTCAAGTCTCAATTGTCAAAATCAATGCCAAATAATGATGACAACGAGTAGAAACAAAAGAATTCCTATTGACCATTTGAGATTCAGGGTACGAATACGATATTTCATTTTTTAAACAAACAATATTGTAGGTCATAAATATCGTACGAAAGAACATCTCTTTGGCCTTGAAATTTGAAAGGGATAGGCCTTTTGCATGAAATGGTCACATGGTACAAAATCCGCCATACTGGATGGCAAAAGAATGTAACAACGTCAAAAACAATAGGAACGCAGCCCTTCAAGCTTGACTTTTCTTTGTTTTGAACATCCCAGTGGGTATTTTGCAATCCAGTATGGCGGATTTTGTAACATGTGACCGCTTCATGCAAAAGGCCTATTGAGTGCATACCATCCTGTCCAACCTTGTACTAGCTTGTCTAACACCCCTACCCCCAACACACACCCTACCACACCGAATAGCAATCAAAGCATTCCTATTTTGTCTACGCCAACAATGTACATTTACGYCAATCATTTAACTGTAAAAATAGGACGTAATTCAAGATCGCCAGTAACGAACATGACAACCTTAAAGATAAATGAATGACTTGCGTCAATTACAAGAATTGTAGAATTCAATCGCCTTAAAACAGTTGTACTCAGACGGCTTTGATTTAATATGTCAGTTTGAATTCTGAATGACTGACATGCATCAATCACATTTTCATTTTAGCAGTCAATGGGTTTAAATCTGCTGTAAGCAGACGGATCGGATTATCTCTAATTGGAATGTCATCGTAAACCGCAAGGAAATATCCCAACAACAGAAATCTTCAAACTGACACCATTATCAAACATCTAATACCGACATGGGCGTTGCCTTGAAACTTAAATCCCCGAAAGCTAAACAAAATCAATATTATAAGCCCATCTCAAAAGTATTACCGGAAAATCAAGTGATCAAAGTACACGATTTACATCGCCTGTCAAGTRTAGCTACATGAGTGATCTACTCTTGCCTTGAGACCAAAACATGAACAGACATTTTTAGTGTTTTRSGAGACAAAATCTTAATGAGGCATCGTAAAGTGCTTATCTGAATTCATGTGATGATACAAATGCCTRTTGGTTGAGCGTGATAGGTGCAGGGCTATTATTTCACGGGATTAAAACATCATAAAATGTCGGGGAAAACGAAACGGTTTGTCAGAAATTCCACTGATGGACGAAAAAGAGGATTAGAAGGCATTAAAATAGCGAAGCAAGGGCAAAATGTACAACTGAAGACTTTTAGGAACAAATAAATAATTTCAAGAATCATAGGAATTGAACGAACAAAGCAATGAATGGTAAAATTTCCAACGGCAAAATAACGAAATAAAGTACTCAATGTATTAGTTCGACAAATGAGTTTCCAATATGGTTTTCAACCCCAGAAAGACGATGACACAATATTTGCTTATTTAAAAGGATCAAAGATGGCAGCTACTATGAAAACACAGCTGAATAAAACTAAAACAAGCCTGTTTCCTGTACAAATTATCGCTGATAGACTTGTTTGTCCACGACTGTTGAATTACTATGTATTACTGTCACGAGATTTGAAATCAATCGGAATTACCGAAAACTAAAAGTGAATTGTGGCTAGAGAACGACAAAGTATTTAAAAAACAAAACAAGAACAAATAATAATACGAAGAAAATAAAAGAACAATCATGTCAACCAACTTAGCAATTTCTTTCTTTGGTTCAGAAATGGAGTATGTATCACCGTTTCAAGTTCCAGAAGACTTAATGATATTTTAATAAAACTTTTCTAATATTAAAATCTTTATATAATACGTGCGGGCCAACAACAAACAACATGTCCCTTAGAAAAGCGGAAGTCGGAGGTAACTCTTTTATCTCGTGCCAAAGCCCTCATCACGCGAATCTAGCACTTAGTCAAACAGATCTGAGTGTTTTCATAGTAAAAGGTATGCCGGAAGTATGACAAGCACAAGAGCGGAAAACTAACCTGTTGTAGAGCGGTTCTAATCGTTCGTGTCGCTTTCGTTTGCTTAGTTTAGTTGGATCACCCACTTTGAAAAATGACGGCGCGAACTCGCACAGCCACTTGGGATCAATAGTCGTTACCTAAAGCAATAATCACTTGTAAATATACATWAAAAATACACAAAAAAACAAGGGGAACGTAAGAGAATGGAGAATGACAAAGAAGGTATAAAAGAAASAGAWTGATAAGAAGACAAAGAAGAGGTAGAGGATCATGTTTTTTTCATATAAATTTGCATTCGGTATATATCCATGAATTAACAAAATTACACGGTTAGTCAGACCACTGCCTTCTATTGTTTAATCCAATGCAATTCTATGCAATTTCTTACTGTCCAAAGTATTKTATGSATACAATGAATRCCCTCTATTGATTGGATGCAACACTCTAAAGGCGGTGGTGSTTGGACAACCAAATAAATGGCAAGGCATCCTTTAGTGGAATSCAAGATGGCTACCGAGTCAATCTTACCTCTCTCATATATTCTTTAGTGGTAAGAACTAACTCATGATAGACAACCCATTCTGGCTGTCTGTTAAACAGTGCACTCGATGGGTGGATATATACCACTGTGTTATCAACCACCGTACGGTACCCCTCCTGGGGATCCTTTCTTGCAGCGTTCCTGAAGAATCCACTGGTGATGGTTTTCTGTATTCGAGCAGTGTTTTTACCACACGACACGACATCTAGTTTATGTCTGTAAATGAGAAACATTATCAGAARGGAATACGTACTATTCCCAAATGTCTAAAATTTAGGAAGAGTTCCAGTCGCTCTCTCTTGTGACGTCACGTCTTGTGGAGTTCGTGAGAATGACGTAAGAATGAAGCGGAGATGAATGTGATGTCACACGAGAATGACGTAAAACTGAGCCAAAGAATAGTARCAGTCCAGTTCATCAAGTTACATGGTCAACATTACAAGCCCGCCATTTTGAATCGGTTTGCAATGTATCATGGGATATATATCTCCCTTTCCTCATCAAAACAAATCGCTAAAATCGTAAAAAACACTAATTAGTTTCGTTTTTTTCACAGACAACATATGTTTGTTTTCATTTTTGCTTGATTTGCCTAGTATATAGAAATTCTCGATCACCGTACACTGTTGGAGGTTTTTCTTGCTGTATTTCCTATTGCATATTGATATTTGTTTGATTTTTTCGCTTCTGAGATTAAGTACAATATCAATATTTCCCAATATTGGTTGAAAACTGAGTCTGCTTCACAGACAACTGGAGCACTGACATCATTGTTCCCTGTTTACTCATTTTTCAATCCCAACAATGCATTGCGTCACAAGGCTTTTCGCGGGTTGCGATATGGACTATGGTCAACATAACAAGCCCGCCATTTTGAATCGGTTTGCCATGTGTCATGGGATATAAATCTCCCTTTCTTCATCAAAACAAATCGCTAAAATCGTAAAAACACTAATTATAGTTTCAATTTTTTCAGACAAAATATGTTTGATTTGCCTAGTAAATGGAAATTCTCGATGAACTGTACATTTTTGTTTTTCTTGCTGTATTTCCTATTGCTTGTTGATATTTGTTTTTTTTTTCGCAGTATGTTTCTGAGATTAACTACAATGTCGATATTTCCCAATATTTTTCGAAAATTGAGTCTCCGTCACAGACAACTGGAGCACTAACATCGTTGCTACCCTGTTTGCTCATTTATCAATCCTAACATGCATTGCGTCACAAGGCCTTTCGCGTGTTGTAATAAGAACTATATTAGTGATAACGACATAAAAAGGAATCGAAGTTGGAAACGTGTGTGGTAATCACCACACAAGCAAGATTGGCCTAAAACCAATCGAACAAATATCATCATCATCATCACCTGTCCATAAGCCCTAGCAGCTGTTTTCGAATATCTTGTGCTCGTCTTAGCGATCTAGCCTGGACAAAATTCTCAAAACACCATGCATTTGAGAATTTATTATTTTTCCAGGAATTGTACACGGCTAACAGCGTTAGGTGATCTCCCTCAGCCTGGTGGAACTTGGCTTTCTTTTGGTCGGCCATGGCTTGTTTATCCTGAATTAAAACAGTAAAATTAGGAAATATTGGCTAACAAGTGGAAGTACCAGTACCCACGGCAGGTTAGTTAGTCGACAAGTCTATCTGCTCATGGCTGTTAAACGCAGTTCCAAATCGATCGTAGCCAAGACTGTATAAAATAGAAGTTCTATACTCTCTCGTGCGACCGGGAACATTTTTTTTTTATTCGACAGCAGGTTTTGAAGCTTTGGACTTGATTTGTGTAACCGTACTGCAATTGAATTTCTGTGAAATAAGCGCTTTCCTGGAGGCGAAAAAATGTACTCAAGCAAAATGATACCAAAACAAACTTTCCATGGCGAAAAGCAGTGCGCACAGAAGCACTAGGTACTAATCTCCCAACTTGTTACGATGTTCGCAACAATGATCTCCCAACGGATGTTGCGCTAAAAGTTAACTTAGTAGCCAGTTGCCATGTTGTGTTAAAAATTGACTCGTTGTACGCGTTCACAAAAATTGCGTGAAAATTACCCGGACAGTTTCTCTGACATTTACCATATAGATGCATATATGTTTCGATGCAGAAACAAGGCTCACCTTTGGTCGATAAAAGACATTCTGTACAGATAGCATAGACACTATAGTTARGGCTTCATCACTACATCCCAAGTGAACTGACTGAATTAACATCTTAGATAACTGTGGCTCAAGAGGAAACTCGGCCATTCGACGACCCAATCGAGTTAAAAGACCTTCATCGTCTAATGCACTTAGCGAATGCAATTGTTCCATCGCTGCTACCATGGTCTATAAGTAAGAAAAGGATTGTTGGTTTGTTATTGTTGCTGTTACAGTTGTTGCTGTTGTTGTTGTTGTTGTTGCTGTTGTGGTTGTTGTTGATCTTGCTATTGTTGTTGTTGTTGTTGTTGTTATTATTATTATTGCTGCTGTTGCTGTTTTTGTTATTATTGTTGTTGCTGGTGTTTTTATTTCTATTATTGTTGTTGTTATTGTGGTTGTCGTTGTTATTGTTGTTGTTGATCTTGCTGTTGTTGTTGTTGTGTTTACCTCCAATGGCGGCGAATCCATAAAATCAAAAGCCAACAAATCATTGATACCCATAGCTTTCAGCTGTAGGATTGTACTGGCMAGGTTTGTACGCTGGATCTCAGGTACGGCTGTTGGTAGCATCTCGTCTCGATAAGCTCGTTCAGTGTATAAACGATAGCATTTACCTGGCCCAGTTCTACCAGCACGACCAGATCTTTGCTTACCTTGCGCCTAAGTAGACATTACAGAGAGATTGAAAACCAATTTTATTAACTGAACATTTGAGTTGAAAAAAGTTGAAGAAAATGAAGCGTGGTTCCTACGTTTTTAGGCCTGAAGATGCTTGGTTTTCAAAATAATAAAAAATCACTTTCTTTATAATTTCGGTCTTACAGATTTTAATTATTTCTTCAAAACATTCAAATGTAAACTGCTTTATGGGATTCATATTTTGATAGYATAAAATTCAGATCATTTCTTACCAAAACAACAAGACGATAGCGGTATTTGATAAAAGGTCTAGTAACATTAAGTAACTTTACTGTTTCAAATGATGTAGTTGGTTACCTGTGAGATAGGTGTAACTACGAGAGCATCAATACCAGACTTAGAGTTATAGACTTTTTGTTTGACAAACCCTGGATCGACCACATAGTAGATACCATCGATGGTTAGAGATGTTTCGGCGATGTTAGTAGCAATAACACACTGTAAATATACCAAAGTATTGTATGAGATAAATGCGAGATTGCAGGTTACAATAAAAGGGTGAAAAATAAAACTAAATAGTGCAGAACGTTACTCGCGAAAACTCGAAAGACAAAAAAAGGAAATTCACTCCTCTACATATGTACTGCGTCATCAACCATACCTTTCTACTTCCTGGTGGAGCAGGGTCAAAGATTCGTGTTTGCATCTCACTTGGTAAAGCACTGTACACAGGAAGAATAATCAACTCAGGGACATCAGGACCAAGAGACTTGCATCGTTCGTAAAGAATTTCACAAGCTGTATCAATCTCTTCTTGACCTAGTG